GCTGAGCTAGTTTGCCGGTTCCAGAAGGCTGGTTTTCAAAAATATGCCCATATATTCCAGCACATATAGCCACAAGCTTAGACTCAATGAATATCTTCAGGTAACTAATTATGATTCAAGTAAGAATCATATTTCAGGCTCTTGAGCTATCTTGCCTTTTTCATGATGGTAGCAATAAATCCCATGATATATTTCCCGACCTACTACAGATAATTCGTCTCTGTCATCATGAGGGGCTGCTTATGGAGTTCTACATGTAGTAAAGTCATTTGTCGCTTCAATACCACTGTTGGAAGTTAAATACTAAAGAACTACCCTCAAGAAGACCTTTCCCCTTGTAGCTTAGCTTCCTCGGTGGGTTTCTCACACAAAGGTGTATTTCACTTACACCCCCATCTCCTAATCATCCCTGTCTGTGCCTTTATTTTTCCTAGATTCATCTTCTCTCTCCCTTACCCAATGTCAACACAGAAGCATTTGCTATATTTTGAAAACCATCTATCCTGTCCTGTAGGGACACTGATTCATTTGAGCAATAGTGAGAAAATGTACCTTTTTTACAGATTATTAAAGGTCCAATGAGTCCTGAAGCAATATCTTTTGGAGCATCAATGTGGGAATGATAAATCCGAGTCACACAATTACTGTCTCCCTCACCAGGACTATGTTGTTGATCGACAATCAATCTGTATGTATACTGTTGTCCTGGAAGCACTTTGTCATCTGCCTTGTGAAAATCTGTGGTGTTATCAGGATAGATGGCCCCTAGAAAAGAGCACACAATGGATTTACAGAGTGAATTTTTGTGTGTGTGTGATTTTTTTTTTTTTAAACAACACAGGAAATAGATCGTCCATCAGTTCTTTCATCAAACTTATACCATTCGAGAAGCTTCCCTTGTGGATGTAGCTATGTCCTACTGGACACTGAAATGAGAGACTAAGCATTAGGGATGTAGACCCTAAGTTTGCCTTGACTCTTCAGGAAGCAATAATAGATATGCAGGGGATAATGAATATTGGTTTGCAATTTGAAGAGTAGCTTGTTCCTTAGAGCCATGACAGCATAAAAAGCCAAGCAAAATGACTTCCCTTTCTTATAATTTCAAACTTCTTATTAATACCAGATTTTGCCTGTGAAATAACAATGGAAATTCAAAAATCTTTACTCTGAATTTTGGAAATTTTCAAATACAGAAGATGCAATGAACCTCCATATACCTCCAAATTTGTTGAGCCTACGGTGTACCACTCAAACCTATTTTAACCCCGATAAACTCATAGCCAATCTTGTTTTCTACATAACCCCATTCATTCTTATCTCTAGTAGTGCAAATTCCAGAAGTCATATCCATAATACCTGAGTATGTATCTCTAAAAATGAGAACAGTTTTTTCTTTTGTTTTGTTTTAAGATAAACACAAAAGCCCAGTGTGGTGGTGCATATTGATAATCCCAGAATCCAGGAGATCAAGGCAGGAGGACTGCAAGTTGGAGCTCACCTTGGCAAGTTAGTGAGACCCTGTCTCAAAACTAAAAAATAAAAAAAAGCTGAGGATATAGCTTGCTGTGAAGGCCCTGCGTTCAAACTCCGGTTCAAGGAAGGGGGATGGTGATGAGGAGGAGGAGGAGGAGAAGGAGAAAGGGGAGGAGTAGGAAGAGGACAATACCATTATTATAATTTGAAAATGAGTGTCAATATTCTAATGAACCATTAAATTGTACAATGGAAAAAGAGATAACAATTAGTCATTTATGCTATTAATAGAATTGTTTTGTTTAGAAAAACAGAAAAAAGAGGTACTGCAAACATTTGCTTTCTAAAATAATTTCTCTTTTCAAAAGAAAAAACTAATAATTAATCAAATCTAGTTTTCTATTAATTTTCAGAATTGACCTTTGTACTTTCAGTGAACTATAATGTGACCTCGATTTTTTCTTCTGATAATAGCTGATGTTTACTAAGTTATTATTACGTACTTTATTGCTCCTCTTTTATAGACACAAGAACTAAAGCATGATTTAGGTTTCTTGGAAAATGTCACCTCGCCAATCAATGGGGAAGCTGGGAGTGGCCATTGATTGTATGTCACCTGGGGCAAGAAGTGCCTTGCAGGTTCGTAAGGCACTGTGCTGGTGCGCTGGTGGATGACTGACACGCAGGCAAGCGAACAGGAAGAGCCGCTCCAGTTAATAGGTGTGCAGCATGTCTGGATCAACAGGGAGGGAAGGAAGTGCGCCTCTTTTGGAGAAGCCCCGCTCCTCTTGAGCAAGTGCTCCCTTCCCAGCTGTCACCGCTGGCCATCAGTCTCCAGGGCTCTTTTCTCCAGCCTTCCAGGCAGGCTTGCACCAGCAACTCCAGTCAGCTTCAGACATTCAGCCTTGGACTTGTGCTGCGTCCTTGGTCCCTCTTTTCCTCCCGTCTTCTTGGACCGAGCAGCTACAGGATCTCCTGTCTCTCCAGTGCAAAGGTGACCATTGTGGGTTCTCCTGCCCCTGATCCTGCAAGCTTATCTAATAAATCCCTTTGCATAATTATGCATACATTTTTTATTGATTCTGTTCTTCTAGAGAATCCTAATACAGTGGAGCTCAACCATGGCTTATTAACTCAAAGCCCTTTCCTCTTAGCCACAACAAAGCCATCTCTTTTGATGTCATCAGGCACAAGTTGAACGTACCCAACACAAAAATCTGAAGTCCAAACTGCTCCAAAATCCAAAATTTCATGATCAACATGGAAATTCCATACCCTGAAACTTTGTTTCATGCGCACAATTGTTGAGTATAAGTATTTAAATTATCTTCAGCCTCTGTGTATAAGGTGTATATAAAACGTAAATGAACTTTGTATTTAGACTTGAATCACATTGACAAGATATCTCATTATATGCAAACAGTCTAAAAATCTGAAAAAAAAAAAAAAAAAACCCTTGAAATTCAAAACACTTTTGGTCCCAAACATTTTGAATGAAACACACTCAGCCTATAGCATGAATGAGAGCAGAAGCATCAAATCTCATCTTTGTCAGTCCTTTTTTTAAATTTTGAAACAAAGTCTCAGTTGCTAGGCTAGCCTTGAATTTATGAGCCTCCTGTCTCAACCTCCTAGATCCTGGGATTACGGGAATGCATCCACCAGGCCCAGCATGCACCATTCGTTATAATTTCTCAGGCTGATATTGAAATGACTCTTCAGTTAATTGTGTCTCAGATGTGACTCTGGAGTCACTCAGCCACATGTAACATTTGGCTAATGTATGAGATTACTCATGCCACCTAAACTGGGATAGAGCTTATCCACAATTAGCATGGGAGGTGACAGTAGCTACAGTATGAACCTGTGTAGAATTTCCAAGGATAAGAAATCCCCGTTTAGAGTCCTTTCTCTTCCTTTGGGAGCTTTGCATCTTGTAGGACAAGCCACATTGTCTATTTTCTTTTTTTCGGATTATTTGGCTGGAAAACAATTAGACATTGGAAGAGCTGCATCTCTCACTGACTTTCAGTATCTGAATCCACCCAGAAATCTATGACATTCACACCTTATGCAAACTTGCACGATCCAGAGAAACAGCATTCTGATGATGAACCAAGGTACTTTTTGATGAAATAGTGTGGCGCTAAATGCCATAGATCAGGTCTTGTACAAAAGGAGAATGTAACAGATTAGATCTAAAATGTCCCCTGAAAGTCTTACGTGTTTAGAGGTGGGGTTTGGGGAAGGTGACTGGATCATGGCAGACTACACTCCTCTTGGGTGAATCTATTGATGGGTTCACAGCTGAATGTGCTATAAGGAGGTAGAGCCTCGTAGGAAGACATCAGTCACGTAGGTGTGATCTGGGAGGACACGCCCTTGTTCCTGTCTTCTGCCTGCTTTCCGGTCACCTGGGCTGAGCAGCTTTCTTCCACCATGCCCTGCCACCCTGGGTTTCTACCTTGAAGTCAGCCGATCATGGGCAGAACCCACCGAAGCCGTGAGCAACACAAACTGCTCCTCCTTTCAGTTGTGTGTGTCAGATATTGTGTCCTAGCCATGGAAGAGTGACTAATACAGACAGACATTTGAATGCTACAAAGTAAGAGTAAATTCTACAGCATGTGCTGAACTCACCCTCATGCTCCTTATAGTAGGTTACTCCATGTGCGTGAAAAGTGTAGGGCCTAGAGGCGAAGTTTTTTAAATGTATATAAACTTCATCTCCAATTTCAGCCTTGATGATAGGTCCTAAAAGCCCCAGCCAATCCGGCTTCTCTATAGTTACACTAAAGGTTCCATCCATGTACTGATGATAAAGGACTTTCTTGTACGTTCTTCCAATTCTGTCTGGGCCATTCTCAAGGTAGGTAACATACTGGTCCCTGCAAAGGAAGACAAGACAACTTGATCCAAAGCCAACATTTCTGAAAACTATGAGAACAGTTAATCAAAGGGAAATTAATAACCACGTCACATTATATGCTTGTAGGGAGGCCTCCAAAAACGAAATGGTGAGCTGGAGCTTAGCCTCATTGTTTTGTTTATGTGAGGTGTTTCATATCAGGTATTCAGTACAGAGCTATCTGAAACCATCATAAAAATATGGCACATATTACTGGAGTAAATTTCTCAGGATTTTCATACAAAACTGAGGCATTCTGCAATACCAGAGACACAAAATTAAAGTGAAATATTAAATAAAGCAGTTAAGGTACTTTGTCACTGTCACATATACTTTAGCTAGGCAAAAGCTGTGATGATAAGGAATCAGTGTGGATGTTTGACATCAAAGTTTGTATATAATATATGTATATATTTTCTGTAAAAATTAACGATACTTTATTGTTCTATCATTTTTACTTCTTTTAGTATGCTTCAATGAAGACCAGCACTGATACACAGAATGTGAGTGTGTTCTTAAATTGTCTTCGGATTTAAATTATCCTTCTTCTTTTTTTTTTTTTGCTCCAAATGCCTTCAGGGCAGGTTTGACTGGCTTGAGTTGTGGGGATCGAACCACAGCAACCTGAGCCTGACTGCTTTGTTGAAGCAGCCATTTAAGGAACTGAGCTAAGGAGCAGGCCCCCTTACCCTTCTTTTTTTTTAAAAAAATTCTCCACTACAGTAGATAGTGGACAATGTTTTGAGTAGTGCTGATTAGTAGTTGCCTAAAAGTTTCCTAGATATATCAGCTCAGTAAAAAGTAACCACAATAAAAAAAAGATAAGAAAAGAATAAAAATGAATTTGGCATTTGAATTTAAACTGGTCCTTAAGTTCCTGATGCTAATGAAAGCTCCAGTTAGCTCAGGGGGCTTGGCAGTGAGCCACGCCTTGCCGTCCTCTGGAAAGATGCACCTGAGGAGTGGGGTGCAGCCAGCCCCTCCACAGCCAAGGTCTCTTTCAAGGTCGCAACTAAAGTCTCTTCTTCAAGTGGGAGGATGTGTGATAAGTTACTTTTAAAATAATTGATTCGGAACCATAATACAGTATAAGCCAAGTGTTAAACATTTGGAATTCCTTTTTTATGTATTGCAGGATACAAACTGGCTTTTCCATCTTGTCTTTTTACTGTGAAAGATTTCCTTTAAACAAGTTGGGAAATACTTCCCATCATGTGGTATTCTGGGGGAGGTCTATTTGCTTATGATCTGTCTCCAGAGAAACACCAAAAGGTCATTAGCAAATGTCTATTTAATTTCAAGAGAACTGCTTGAGGACAAAGGGTCAGTTACTGGAAGTGTGCAGGAAGTTTGCCAGTCAGCTGTTCAGGCACAAGGATCTAGTAGAATTGGTCTTTGAACCAAATAAATAATTCACATGAAATTGTAGTTTCTCCCTTGAAAATTGTAATATGTTCCTTTCTACTCGTAACAGTATATGTTTCCCTCCCAATTTCTTTTTTTTTTAATTTTATTTGTGTGTGTGTGTGTGTGTGTGTGTGTGTGGCCAGCTCAGCCTACCAGGGGGCGGGGCTGGCTGGCATGTGGTGCTGGGGGATTGAACCGCGGTCCCTGTGCTTTGCTAAGCTTGTTCTAAGTAGGTACTTTAGACCACTGAGCCATCTCACCAGCCCCATTCCTCCCAATTTCAAAAGCTTCTATTTTCAGCATCCTACCCCCTTTAAAATAAAAGGCTATCTGTTACAATTTATGGTAGACTCAGACCCACAAGTAAGTTTTTAATGATAGGAGATTTTTCTATATTGCTTTTGTAAGATAATGATGCTAATTCCTCTCATGAATTCAGAATTCACTCAGATGGTCTCTGCTTAATGCTTACACGTAGTTACCAAAACTAGGAGTACTGTATGTAAAATGCTTCTGGGTATTTTGCTTCATTAATTGAGAAATTATGTGTTAGACTTTAATTGCTTTATGACAAACAATCACATAGCAGCTTGAAATAATACCTATATACCTATTACCTAATACCTATATATCTATTTATTTATTTTTGGTGGAACCGAGGATTGAACTCAGGCCCTTGAGCTTTCCAGGCAAGCATTTATTCTACTGAGTTATCTCCCTGGCCCCCAGTACTACCTATTTATACCCTCACAGCTCTATGAGCTGTTAGTCAGATGTGAAATGACTGCAGTTGCTGAGCAGGAGGAATGAGGCTGAAATCCAAGGCCTGCTTGGCTCAGCATGTGTCTGAGATCTTTTGAAAAAAATCACCTTCTTAGACCATTCTGGCTATGGGCAGAATTCAGGGTGCTGATATTGTAAGACCGAAATGCCTGTTTGCTTGGGGCTGGGGTCTCTTCCTGCTCTTTAAACCCACCTGCATGCTTCCCAAGTGGCCTTTTCCACCATTCAATCAGCAACAGTGAGTGGAATTCTCCTCTCGCCTCTGAATCTGGCATTCTCTTCTGCCACCAGAGGATGCTCTACATTTAAATGAGTCTACCCAGACAGTGTCCCTAAGGTCAGTGTTGCCATTAACTAAAACATAAATCATGGGAGTGACAGCTCACCCTACTCAGGTTCTGTGTAGTCAGAGCAAGATATCTTTTGCGGGCTGCTTTAGAAAGTTGGCCTCCTTGTCAGCTATAAAACAGGATAAATTTGAGACTTTAGTTGGTAAGTGGGTGCAACTAGAGACCATACTCTTAAGTGAAATCAGACCCGAGTATGGAAACATTGTATTGTCTCCTGAATGTGAGAACCGAAAGAGAAAATGGAATCTGAAGGGTACAATAGGTACTGGGGAAGGGGAATGAATTTATTCAAGAAGAAAGAGTTACTGAGTTGAGGAGAACAGGAGAATGAGTGGGGGAAAGAGATTTTTCTATGTATGTAAGCAGGATGGTTTGGACAACTATACTGTGGATTTCTGCTGGTCTGTGGAAAGGAGCAGTTAATGCTTAATTTGTTTCCTTTTTTCCATTGTTTCTCCTTTTTCTCCTCTTAATCTTATATTAATTTATAATATCTCATATTAATTTCTTATATCTCTTTATTTCTTCTGATTTTGCATGCATATATCTGTTAATATGAATAACTGGTTGGAAGACAACACTATGCATTACAACAAATACTGCAAAATTCATATTATTTGTTTCATGAAATTCTGTATCACTTGTAATTTTTCTGTTTTAATACTATTTTGTACACTTTATAAATTAAATATAAAAGAAAAAAAAAGAAATTGGGCTCCTACACACAGCAGTCATAAAGAGCTAGGAACTTGGCAGAGACTCACCCTCAGGTATACAACACCAACTTAAATGTCTATAGTCACCAACTATAGATATTTGATTTTTTTTTTGATAACAAGGTTTGCTTCATCATCACAATATGAATGCAATACCTATTGGTCAACCTTCTGTTTTCACTATTTACAGGAAAAATAGAGACTATAATAAAACATTGTAGAAGTTAAAAAGTATGATATGTTGTAGTCATTTAATTTGTTCTTTAATAAGACTATGGGCTATCTTTTTTTTTTTTTTCCTGTACCAGGAATTGAACTCTGCACTTGCCAGGCAGGTGCTTGTGCCACTGAGCTATCTCCCCAGCCCAAGGTTATCTTTTGTTTTGGGAGGAGTGCCAGGAATTGAATTCAGGACCTTGCACTTGCCAGGCAGGCACTTATGCTTATGAACTATCTCCCCAGTGAGGTTATATTGTATGAAAGGAAAAACTGTGTTTGTACCACAGTGGCTATTGCTTGCTGATTTTTTAAATTTGGCAGCTTTAGAGAATGAGTCACTATATGTGGATTTCCAGTAATTTTACCTAAAAATTATTCTTTAAGAATCATTAAAAAAATTTCAAATTGGGCTGGTGAGATGGCTCAGTGGACTAAAGCACCTACTTAGAACAAGTTTAGCAAAGCGGTTCAGTCCCCAGCACCACATGCCAGCCAGCCCTGCCCCCTGGTGGGCTGAGCTGGCCACACACACACTAAATAAATAAATAGACAAATAAATAATATATAAGAAAAAAATTTCAAATTAATTTTGGAAACGTGTTGTAATCATTAATTGAGAGGCCATCAGGCTGAGATAGCTCCAATGCCTTGGGGTCTAATGTAAGCAAAACCAAAAACAATTCAATGAAAACTACATGAAATTTAAACTTAAATAGTCATAAGCAAACCTCTAACTGGCGGCTTACAAACCAGAAACTGCCTGTTTAACCTCTAGGAATTTTCTTTAATTAGATATGTTTTCTTAATCTTGCTTCCTTGAATACCTTATAAAATTCCCTTCTGTTGCATCTCCCTGCTCCCTTTTTGCTATTGTACAATCAATTCAATAAATATTTAACTGATATCTCCTATGGACCAAGAACACACTGATGTACTTGCTAATGTTTACGTATATGAACACACATGAATAAACATTTGAGGCTTTCCCTGTCTCCTGCAGCCAGATTCACAAGTGACTGCTAAAATAGACTTGTTAAGAATTTGATGCCCCTAAGTTTATGTTTATAGAAATAAAATAAATAGCTTCAGTGCAAGATTTTTCTCTAAAACTTTGTTTGCTTTCCTGTGTTCTTAAGTAGGATCTAATGAGGGAGAAAGTCACCTCTTTGCTCAAAACAGTAGTAAAGATGAGCATTTATCGGGCACATTGCCTTCTGATCACCCAAGATCACATTTTAATTACCATTGTAATGGACAGCAGCATGGCCTAAATTTGATATGTTTCCCTTGCCAGGATTTGAGCGGTTTGGCTTCTTAGCTTGTGGATCTACTCATGACACCCCTACTGTGTTATCTATTTTGCAAACCTACAATGAACTAGAAAGCTAGGTAATAAAGTTCCTAACACCTGCGCACTCAGAAGTTCCCTAAGCCTGAGCAAGAGCCTCCAACATCAAATGTAAAAGGGTTTTGCAGTATTTCTTTTTCTTTTTCTTTTTCTTTTTTGGTATTTTAGGGAAGCATCTACAGGGTGTTCAGAGTCTCATTACTAGAGACTCATAGTTATCAGCCTGTTTACAGCCTCTCAAGACCTGGGATTCCAGGTTTGCTACACCATGCCTGGTCTCAATTGCCATCTCAGTGCACTTCAGGGGCGGGGCCAGCATGCAGGCCCAGGGATCTAACCCCTGGCTCTTGCGCCTGCTTGCAGAAGCTTTAATCCCCTGAGCTATTTGGCTGTCCCTGTTCTTGTGATTAGAGAACTTTTCATTTATTTTGAGTTTTCTAAAGGTCACTGGGAAAAAAGTAAACTAAAAATAATAGTACTGTCGTTTTTGCTATTGTACAATCAATTCAATAAATATTTAACTGATATCTCCTATGGACCAAGAACACACTGATGTACTTGCTAATTTTTATGTATATTTTCTTAATTCTTATTAAATATAACTTAGACTCAGAAACTATTATAAGTAAATTACTTTCCGTCTACCCCATCAGAAATAAATAATTTGAGCATTAATGACAGAAAGGTAAACTGTTTTCTTAGCCAACAAAGTAAAAGAAAGCCTCAAATGTTTATTCATGTGTGTTCATATATTCACAAATATTAATTTGGTGTCTCTTATGGTCTAGGTACTAGTGATCAAGCAGTGGTCATAAGAGATGGAGTTTCTGTGATCTCAATATATATTTTCCTCATTACTCCAGACCTTCACAGTTGACACCCAACTTAAATCCAGTTCTCTGCCTAACACCCATCTTGTACTTGTTCACAGCCTATTCCTCATATTGTTTATTTCTACTGCTTTTCAGAAACCACACAAGACATCCAGCCAACCATGCCTAGTTGATGCTCTATAATTTTTCACTGACTAGGTTGAACATGTCAGTGAAATCTGGACAAAGAAGGGAACAAAAAGCTGCTACCATATTCATATATGAAAAAAGTTTAATAAAATATTGACAAAATTGTAAAGCTGTAGTCACTGCTCAGATGTATGAGGAAAAGAATCATAGACCATGTGACCAATCTGCCAAGGTCTGCACCACTCTAGGCTGCAGAGCAATCCACAAGAATATGTAGTTCAAAGGCACAAAGAAAGGTGAATTTCAACTGGAGAATGCCCCAGTTTCCTGTCCAAGTATCCTTAAGTATCCCTAGTAAGTCACAGTGATGTAAACAAGCTTTTACTCACTGCATACCCCTGGAAGAGGCAGGCCACAAGAGTATCTGAAAATAAACGAATAATCCACCTCCACCACTGAATTCTTCCCAACCTCCTATACTCCTCTGTTCCCTAATTTCTAGAAATAGAGACTTCTTATAAGAGTGTAGGTGGGGAACTGTTGCATTTAATTTGTACCCAATAGACTGATTTGATTTTTGATTATGAAGAATGGCAGTTAATGGTAGTGCCGAGTAAGGCAACTCATGTGTTTATGTTTTTATTTATTGATCTAATAGGAATCAAACTCAGGGCCATGCACATGCTAGGCAAGTGCTCTATCTCCAAGCTCTATTCTGAGCCTAGTATTTTTACTTTTTGATATACCTAATCTTTTTCCTTAGAAATAGATTCCATATGTAGATTACATTGTATTGAACCAGAATAACACTGAATCCATATAAAATGTTTCTAGTGATGCAGTAAAACTATAGCGTACTCCTAAGAAGAGAATGTTATTGCTAAAGCAGATTTCAAAAAACACTTGTTGCAAGACATACTAGTTGTCTTTATATCCATTTATCTTTAGGTCAGATTTTCCTTACTGCATATTACTAATTTAATAACATAATAATTGGATATTATTGCCAGCTATGGATTTATTTTTACATGAAAATTTTTAACTATATATAGTTAAACAGAATGTATACACTCATTAATAAAAGTAAATAGCTATGATATTTGGCATAATTACTTAACCATGCTTTAATGCCCCTTCCTTTTCTTTGTACCGGGAATCAAACTCAGGATCTTGCACTTGCTAAGCAGGTGCTTTTGCCACTGACCTATATCCCCAGCCTCCTTAACCGTATTTTAAAGATACACTCTGCGGCTGCTGGTCATTGGGCTTATTCACGTTTAATCACCATTAAAATACATCTGTTAATGTAATGAATTTTGCTTTTGAATGCACAATTTCCATTTGTAGCAAATGTTTGATTAATACTACTTAAAATGAGGGCCTCAGTGTAAATAAAGTTCTGTGTTTAAAAAAATCCTTCATTGGGGCTGGTGAGATGGCTCAGTGGTCTAAAGCACCTACTTAGAACAAGCTAAGCTAAGCAAAAGCACAGGGACCGCGGTTCAATCCCCAGCACCACATGCCAGCCAGCCCCGCCCTCTGGTGGGCTGAACTGGCCACACACACACTAAATAAATAAATAAATAAATAAGATTTTTTTAAAAGTTTAAAAAAATAAAATAAATAAATAAAAATAAAAAAAATCCTTCAAGGATAACTGTATATTTTGTTTTATTGTATATAATGCATATTGCTTCACACAGAGGAGCCATAAGAACATACATTTAAACCTCATAGAGTTTGTTCAGGGCTATGAGGATAAGTATCTAACACATTTTGGTACGTATACATGATGATTGCTGAGTGCAGGGCAGCGCTACGAGTTCTGCATGTGCTCACTCTTCACACAGTGCTGTGGGGTGTGACTGTTACCCCTTGTGCAGGTAGGGGCTCTAACGTGGTGAATGAGGAATCCTTTCATTCACTGTGCAAGGTAACCCAACAAGTATCAGGAAGAATCACATTGGTTAAAATTGTATTTTATTTCTATAAAGGATATTTAGAAGCAATAAAAAAGCTTCCTTCTTGCCATTAATCAGCAGCCTATGGTGGCATGAGCATAACATTCTATATAATCATTATTTAAGTAGGTTTTTTTTTTATGGAACCGGGGATTGAACTCATATAATCATTATTTAAATAAAAAATCTTGTGCATCATCAGACAAAAGAAACGCTGATGGAGATGCAGTAATGACTGCCCAGCCAACACTGTTCCCCAAGACCAACAGGAAAAGACTGTTGGCTGTAATAATGAAAAATATTCAGACATAGAAGAGAATGATTAAAGTAGCTTAAGTTTCAAGGCTATGCTTTGAACTTTCTATGTATAACAAATTAAAGAAATATTTCATCATACTGATTTACATTTAATTTTATAGTTTATGGATTCAATGCATAAGCAATAAAACAGTGACTTACTTGTCAAATGAAATAAGTGTCTTTTCTTCATTGTCGGGGGCATAATTCCAAGTTGTCTCATTAATTCCAATGTAATAATGCTTATCTTTTGTCCAGGCTGGAGCACTATATAAAAACAGAAAAATTCCAAGAGCAGAAAGCTTCATTTTCTTCCTCTCCTGGAGCCAGAGACCTAATGAAGTAAAATCAGAAACAGGCAATCTTATAAATAAGGCTTTCTCCCTTTATTTGCTTGATTGACACAACTTAATATTGCACAAGAGTAAATTGTTTCGTTAAAGTAAATAACATTTTCCAATTCAGTTTGGTTCCCATAAACTCAGGAAGAGAAATGAAATAGTCCTTGGTAGCCAGCCTTGTCTTACTACAAATAAAGAGTCAACAGTTATTGTTGGACACTAAAGTATGCAAAACTCGGTGCTTTCTTCCTTTATTTGTGCAAATTCCAGGAAAGCAGAGATCATCCCTAAATGCTCCCTTTGTTCCCCCAACAATTTGATGCATTACAGCGTCTTGCATAAGGCAAACTCTTAAAAACCCAGGCCGAAGATCACGTAAAATGAATCAAAATGCATGATTCCCTGTTATTTCTAAAAGCCTAACAAACACTTGCAGCCGTTAGGATCTGAAACATGACACTTAGCGTGCCAAACTTTAGTAACTAACAATAAGAATTTTATTGTGAAAGAGCTGCTGACTGCGTGTTGAGCACAGCAGCGCAGAAAGTTTGTCAAGTATCACAGAAACTTGCTCCCCAGCGATTGCTAGCAGAGCAGGCAGTGGTTGACAGTTTTGTTTAAATCAAAGATATCAGCCATTAATAATAATAATAATAATAATACAAAAACGGAAAATGAAACAATCATCAGATAAAGTGTAATACTTTTTTTTTTTAATTTAGTACAGGGTCTTCAGGGTTTCACTACATAGATTGGACTCGAGTGGTCATCCTTTGTTCAGCTTCCCAAGGGCTGGGATTACTGGCGTGCACTACCACGCCAAGTCTCCGTCTCAGCGCGCCCTGGGAGCGGGGTAGGAAAGGCAGGTCGGGGATGAAATCCCTGGCCCCTGTGTCTGCCTTAAGCAGGAACTTTAATCCACTGAGTTGTCTGACTGGCCCCAAAGTGTAATCTTAGTAAATAGAGAGTATCCTAGTTTATCAGCCTGGAATTTCTCTTAGAAGCACATACAAATTTTAGAATGGGAGACTTATGATTTGAACCATCTGTAAATCATGATCCTTATATCAAGATGTATAAAAGTACTTTTAAAAAAGAAGAAAATCCCAGTGACACCAATTAACATTTTGTGTTAATACACTTTTGCTGGGATAAGTTGGTATGGGAGAAAGAACTCTGATGTTTGGATAGTTGTGCATTTAAGGGCTATTATAGCTCTGTCTATCAGAAGTATTATGGCCTAGCTCTGTCCTAAACATAGGACAAGCAGCAGCAAGTAAAACACTCATGAAGGGTTTACCCTCTTGGAGTTAACATCCTACTTGGGAGCAACTGAGGAAATACAAATGAGAAATGGAATACACAGTATTGGTGGTAAGAGCTGTATAGAAAATGAACCAGGGAAGGGGAGTAATGAATGCTGTAAAATAGTAAGATAAAGACCAGAACCTCATTAATCTCAGGCAGCATACTTAATCTTAGAGTTAGTGTCCTCATCTGTAAAAGGTCAGCCTTGCAAATGATTAACTGACAGGATATGCATGAAGGATCTAGAGGAAGAGCTCCTTTCACCAGCTAGTAACAATCTTTTCTATTTGGAGGATGTTGGGGATTGAAGCAAAGGCTTTGTAAATCCCAGGCAATCTCTCTGCCTCTCTCTGGTCCTAGCAGTGACATCTTAGCTGAATGACCAGACACAGAAAAGTTTGCCCTGGCACCATGCAAGCTCAGCTGATCCGTTCCTCCTCTGTCAGCAAGTTCATGGCTATTTAGGGAATGATCTCTCGGATGGGCTTTTGGTCACTCTGTCCCTTTGGCTTTCCGGTAGCAGGTCACAGCCCTTCTTATCAGTTCCTGTCACAGGTAGGAGAAGTGGGAAAGCTAACTCTAATCTGCTAGGAGACTTGATATAAAAGTCTACAGTACTATGGAAAAGAAGTCTTCTTTAATGGCATAAGGATTTTAATTAACTCTCCCTACCTTGAACATTACAGGGAAAGAACAGCATGTGACTTATTCACAATGAAACACAATCACAATTGTAGAATTCCCCTTTAAAAAGATTAAGGAAGGAAAAAAAAAAAAAAGATTAAGGAATGCAAGAAATTTCGAGAAGATCAAATGCCACTACTCAAACTATTTAAAGGAATTTAAAAGAAGCAATACTCCCAAAACGCATTTCTGGAAATAAGAATTACCTTGAAACCCAAACAGAGAAGGATCCAACCAAAGAAGAAAATGACAGGCCAATCTCCTTAAAGAACATGGATGCAAAAAGCCTCAATAAGATACTAGCAAATAGACTGTAGCAAATCAGAAAAAAAGATTATACACCACAGCCAAGTGGGACTCACCCGAGGATGCAAAATACACAAATCAATAAGTGCAGTCCACTACATGAACAGAAGCAAATTCAGAAACCGTATGATCATCTCAATAGATGCAGGGAAAGTATTTGATAAAATGTAAAACCCATTCATGATAAAAATCCTACAGAAAATTGGAACAGTAAGTCTATCTCAGTCTGATAAAACCTATCTATGGCAAATCAGTAGCCAACATCATCCTAATTAGAACTGAAAGCTTTCACTATAAAATCAGGAACAAAACAAGGATGTCCACTATCACCGCACCTATTTAATATAGTTCTGGAACTTTATTTAGAGCAATCAGACAATGTGAAAAATCAAAGGAATAACAATAGGAAAGCTCTTTCCAGCAATGCAATGGGCATCTCTCAGGACAACTGGCACAAGTGCTGCAAGACCAGGAGCAAAAGAAAGCCCTATCACAAGAAGCTGAAGTATGAGTTGGGGTGCGCTGCTGCCAACACTAAGATTGGGGCCTGCCACATACACACAGTCTGAGTTCAAGGCAACAAGAAGTACTGAGCCCTGCAGCTAGATGTGGGGAACTTCTGGGGCTCTGAGTGTGAGGGGGCCTATGGAAGTGGGTAGTCACCAAATAGCTCTGAAAAGGTTGTACTCTAAAAACAAGGATCATTGATGTTGTTTACAATGTATCCAATAATGAGCTGGTCCACCAAGACCTTGGTGAAGAACTGCATTGTGCTCGTTGACAGCGTGCCGTACCGACAGTGGTACGTATCCCACTATGCACTGCCCCTGGGCCGAAAAAAGGGGATCAAGCTGACTCCTGAGGAGGAGGAGATTTTAAACAAAACATGATCAAAGAAAATTCAAAAGAAGTATGATGAAAGGAAAAAGCCCAAATCAGCAGTTTTCTGGAAGAGCAGTTCCAGCAGGGCAAGTTTCTTGCCTGCATTGCATCATGACCAGGCCAGTGTGGCTGAGCAGATGGTTATGTGCTGGAGGGCAAAGAGCTGGAGTTCTAGCTGAGGAAAATCAAGGCCCGGAAAGGCAAATAAACCTTCCCTCCTGGTTTAAGTCATGTAATAAAGGTGTTTATTGTTCTATATGCATGTTAAAAAAAAGGAAAGAAGTTAAATTATCTTTACTTGGAGGTAGTATAATACTCTACATAGAAGACCACAGAAGTTCTACCAAAATACTCCTATATATAATAACCAAATTCGGTAGCATAACTGAATGCAAAGTCAACACTCAAAAATTAGTCGCAATCACATTCATGAATGACTACCTCACTGAGAAAGAAACTAGGGAAATACCTTTCACAATTGCATCAAGAAAAATAAAATATTAGCAATTTGTCTAATAAAGGAAATAAAATAACTTTAAATTAAAAACTACAGTACTGAAAAGGAGATGGAAGAAGATACCAGAAAAATCGAAAGATATCTCTTGTTCTTGGTTAGGCAAAACCAATATCACAAAAATGGCTATATTTCTAAAACTGTTATACAGATTTTAATGTAATCCTAATTAAAATACCAATAGCACACTTCACAGAACTAAAGAAAACAAGGGGCCAGGGAGATGGCTCAGTGGAATAAGTGCTTCCCTGGCAAGTGCAAGGGACTGAGTTCAATCCCTGGTTCTGCAAAAAAACAAAACAAAACAAAAAAACAACCCAAAAACCCCCCCAAAACCTACAGAAAACAATCCTAAAATTCATTTGGAACCAAAAGAGATCCAGACCCAGAGAGCAAAATCTATTCTGGTCAACAGGGGAAGGCAAGGGATAGCACATCCTCAGTTAGAAATTATATTATAAAACTACTATCATAAGAATAGCATGGTACTGGCCCCCAAACAAACAAACTAGACCGAATGAAGAAGGGACCAAGAATAGAAGATGTAGAACCCACTCCAAACCTTCTCAGCCACCTTATCTTTGACAAAGGGTCCAAACACCTTGACTGGAAGAAAGATAGCCTCGTAAACCAATGGTGCTGGAAAAAGTGGCTTTCCACATGTCAAAGACTAAAACTAGACCTATTCCTATAATAGAAGTATCATACAACAGTGATATATGCAATTTATGTTTATAGCAGCACAATTTGTAATATGTAAATCTTGGAAACAGCCCAGATGCCCATCATCAGATGAATGGATAAAGAAAATGTGTTTTTTACATATGATTGAGTACTACTCTGCCATAAAGAAGGATAAACTTGACACATTTTTAGGTGAATGGATGCACCTTGAGACCATATTTTAAGTAAAATAAATCAGACACATATTTAAATATCACATAGTTTCTGTTGTGTGAGAAGCCAAAGGGGTAAATCAGGACCAAAATGGAGGATAGATATTGGGACATTAGAAGAAAATGTTCAAATAGGAAAAGAAACAAGGAAGAAGGAGGGGAAAGGGAAGGGAGGGAATAAGAGTTAAAAAATAAAAAAAGAATGGAAAGAAAACAATAGAAGGATCACTGAGTCTAATCTGTGCAGTGAGACCCTGTAGACTGTGTACTAAATACATTACAAACAAACAAACAAACAAACAAACAAACAAAACATTTAAAAGGGCCGACCAGGTAGCTCAGTGGATTAAAGCGCCTGCTCAGGCAGACACAGGGACCAGGGTTCGATCCCAGGTGTGCCTTGCCAGTCCTGCCCTGGGGTGTGCTGAGAGAACAGACTGAGACTGGGCGT